CCATCTGGCAGTAAAAAACTTTTTGTCAAACAAAAATCTGCTATCTCATTCTAAAACTTGTATAACATCTCAGCAATTGTTTTAAAATTTTTTGTTTGTTTTTTTCAAGACAGGATTTATCTGTGGCTTTGGAAGCTGTCCTGGAACTAGCTCTTGTAGACCAGGCTGGTCTCTAACTCACAGAGATCCTGCTGCCTCTGCCTCCCCAGTGCTGGGATTAAAGGTGTGCGATAACACCGCCCAGCAATTGCTTTAAAATTTTAAATGGCAGAAAAAGCAAAGAAGCATTCAACATTAAAACTTTGTCTTAGTTTCAACTTATTACCACAGAAATAAAGACAAACAATAGGAAGAAAAAACCATCTCATCATCAAAATCCTCTTGCTTATTAGTGTGATTATCCATTACTTTACACCTTTAAGGCTTTTATACTATTTTTTTTAAATTACATAGTGGCCACTCAGCTTTATCTATAAATTATTAGTTTCATCATTTACTGTCTGAAGAATTAGCTACATAAATTCCTACACTTACTAATATAGATTCACCCAATAAAAAAACCTACAAAGTTGTTATCTGTGTGATCAATTATTTAAAAAAAAAATACTATAGTTCAGGGCTGGAGAGATGTTCGGTGGTTAGGTTAAGAGCAGTGGATGTTCTTTCAGAGGTCCTGAGTTCAATTCTCAGCAACCACATGGTTGCTCACAACCATCGGTAACAAGATCTGGCGCCCTCTTCTGGCCTACAGGTAAACATGCAGACAGAACACTATACACAATTAAAAACAAACAAACAAAACCTATAGTTCTAAAACCATGCCAGCTCTGGGGTTCTTGCATTTGTTATTGAGTGGCTATGAACCACTCAGAACTCAGCAATGAAGGCTGCTGACAAGCTACAGTTCATGAAACAACAAACTGCCCAATAAGTCATGGTATCCTGAGAATAGTTTATTTCATTTTATTTTATTTCATTTAACCCTCACTTTACAAAGAAGAAAAAAATACCAGTTTACTCTTGATCCCATAGTTCATGAGTATGGCCAAGAAATCTGTATTCTATTTTTTTTTTTTTTTTTTTTTACTGAACTCAACTTGACAAATAGGCACACTGTGAATTAGGCTAATAAATGCAATCAAGAATCTGCAGGGCTGCCGGGCGTTGGTGGCGCACGCCTTTAATCCCAGCACTTGGGAGGCAGAGGCAGGCGGATCTCTGTGAGTTTGAGGCCAGCCTGGTCTACAGAGCGAGTTCCAGGACAGCCTCCAAAGCCACAGAGAAACCCTGTCTCGAAAAACCAAAAAAAAAAAAAAGAAAAAAGAAAAGAATCTGCAGGGCTGAGATGGTTCTGTGGGTAAAGGAGCTGGCCATCAAGCCTGATAACCTGAGTTCACTCCCCTGAACTCACATACGATGGAAAGAGAGAACCAACTCCCACAATTTGTCACTTATCCACCATGTGCACTATGGCATAATGTGAGGGAGGGACATGCACACATACATAAATGTAGTAATAATTTGAAAAAGCATCTATGCAGGAGCCAATGAAATGGCTCAGCTGTTAAAGGCCCTTGCTGCCAAGTCAGGAGGACCCGAATTTGATCCTCAGATTCCCCACATGATGGAAAGAGAGAACTGACTCTCCCAAGTTGTTCTCTAACCCCTCCACACATGTACTATTGCATACATTCCTCATCAAAATAAATAAATGTGGCCGGGTGGTGCTGGCATACACTTTTAATCCCAGCACTGAGGAGGCAGAGGCAGGCGGATCTCAGTGAGTTCAAGGCCAGCCAGGTCTACAGAGTGAGTTCCAGGACAGCAAGGGCTACATAGAGAAACCCTGTCTGGAAAAACGGAAACAAACAGATATTAAATGTGAAAGAGAGAGTCGGTGTGCAAGCTGGATTTGGGGGTGGAAACCTACAACCCCAGCACACAGGAGGGGCAGGAGGTTCAAGGAGAACCACAAGTTGAAGGCCAGTACAGCTACATAATAGGCCCATGTCAATCAAATTTATCAAACTCAAGTCTTCAGGCTTGAAACTTCTGAAAGCAAGTGCCTTTTACCCAGGTGGGCCATCTGCCTGCTTCCAAGATTTATAAATCTATCAGTATAATCTGCTGAATTGAGTTTGTGGGAAATGACTTTTCTGGCCTATGCCGCAGTTTCCTTATTATAACAGTAAGAAGTGGGGACTGCTCTGGCATACCACCAATGTAGAAAGAAAGGTTTACACAACAAACTAAAGTTGTACATTCACCATAGGAAGCATAAGATTTTCTAAGGATCTAAACTTTTTTTTCCAGAGTATTCTGGACTGGCTCTCTTTAGGTAGCTGACCCAACACCACCCCAACACTTCCCCTTTACCTACCTTGAGACTTGAGACATCTCTTAACACACTAGCACACTCACTCTAGGCCTGCTGGTACACACCACCTGTATTCTTGGCACTCGGGAGGCTGATGCAGGAGAATTTTGAGTTTGAAGCCACTTGGCTACACAGTGACACATTGTATTTTTGGTTTTGTTTTTAAAGAATGCACTAAAGAGAAACATTTCAACTCTAAAAGCACTCCTCTTCAAAATCCCCCTCAATCACTTCTACTCTTCCTCCTAATGAATGGTCATGTTTCATTCTCTTACACACTTTTTCTGCCCCAACAGTAGGCCAAACCTGGAACACCTAACTGCTCCTGAAGCACACTCAGAAAGTGAAAAGAAAACAAGCAAGGCCCCGTCCACCTCAAGAATCACAATTCTGTATCCTCGAAAGACAGTAAACCCAGACTGAAAACCCCACCAGTAAATGATGACAGTGTTCACATAGACCCCTCCTTTGCAGTTTATTCTCTGGCACCACTGCCATATGGAACCAATGCAACTGAAAGTGTGTCATATTTATAGTCAAAGTAACCCTGTATTTGTTTCAAACTTAGTACTCACCACTTTTGATTAAAAGGCTAAGTGGAATTCCACATTTAAAAAGTGTATGTCTCAAAACTCACATTTGGAACCATGTAATTCTTAAAGTCATTTGATTATGAAAAGAGTAATACTTTATTGGCCCACTTAATTTCATAAAGTCCTTTATTCAAAGTCTTTCAGTTTTTTGCCAGAAGGGCACAGTTTCTTTACTAAAGAAGAAAAACTGGGGATGAGAAGGGAAAGAGCCTCTATGCAAATACAGTAACTATCTAACATCAGTCCTAAATCCATATTCTCATACAGATGATGGCATTAAATCACCAGGAGGTTATTACTGAGGATATCCGTCCTGAATTGGTCCTTAAGCTTGACGTCTCATTTTCTTTTTTTGACCTTCAGTGTAATATGTATGTTTCAATAAATATTACTTTAGAAAAGGTGATATTTCATAAATAACAAACTACTAGGACAGCAAAGGTAAAACCAAGATATGCAGTAGGAAAAGCTATGCTAAATTTAAACTTCAGCAAGGAAAGCCCTCACACCACTATTCACACGTCTCTGTTAAAGCAATTTATTTTTGGCGAGACAAATCACAGCTGTCAACGATGTTTTTTTTCCCCACCCTACAATTACATAAATTATTCCAGAAAAAAATATATAGACATCTTCAACTTGAGGGAAATTAACTTACAAATGCCGTGTGTCATTATGAATGGTATTTTTTTTCCTTTAAAATGTCACACGGAAGGGGGGTTAAAAATAAAAGGCAAACAAACAAACCCTGGAAGATGCAGCAGAGCCCCCTTGCTCCCGAAATAAAACTCCTGGTGGCTGTAACAGCAGCGGCAGTGCTACTCCCGACAGAAGTTTTCAGCTGTCACTTCTAACAGCTGAGCGCTTCCTAGGAGAGAAGCGACAGGCCGAGAAGAGAGGTGGTTGTGGGGAGTCTGAAGATTAAAGACTTGCAATCTTACACTCCAAAGGGAAGCCCTTCCGCGCCGCGCCTCACACCTGCACTTAGGGGACACCCAGCGAGATCAGCGCCCCAGCCCCCACGCCACCCCCCCAGCACACGCTCGCGCCACCCGGGCCACATTCAAGACCCACAGCTCCAGAAGCCGAACGCGCGCCTTTGCTCCTCGGCGTTCCACAAACACGCCGCTCGGGGCTGCGCTGCTCTAGGGATGAGGCGAGACCTGCACCTGCGCGCCCCGCAGAGGCCTCACACCTAGGGCCAGGTCCGCCCCGCCCGCTCCCCCGCTCGGCCGCGCCGCGCCTCAGCTCCTCCCGGAGACCGCCTGCGTCCCCCACCCCGGGTCTCCGCGCCCTCGGACACACCAGGCTTCCTCAGCCCACGCCGCCACCCCGGCCCTGTCACCTCTCCCCCCCACCCCCATCCCCCGGGACCCCGGGCCTCACCCCCTCCTCCAGCTCATCCTCAGAGCCTGCGTCCTCTGGCTGGTCCAGGTCTATGTCAAACACTCCTGCCATGTCCTCAGCTTCCCTGTCTCGGAAGTCAGGCGCTGGGTAAAAGCCGTCCCGCCTCCGTCGTCGCCTCATGGGCCCGGACCCGCGGCAGACTCCACTGCTGCTGCCGCCATCACCGGCTGCTTAAGCTCAATGCGTCTGCGCCTAGGCCCCAGACTGGCTGCTCAAGTTCAGCCCCGGAGCATGCGTACAAGGTTCCGTGAAGCCAACAGTGGGCAGTGGACATGCGTAGCACTATCTCCCGGAGCCAGGTACTGGCAGGAACATGCGCAGAACACCAACCGAAGCCAAGCCGGGAAAGTAGAGCATGCGCGGCGCCGTCTAAGGCGTTTTCCTGGACACCGAGCTTACGTACCGTATCTGAAGTTGGTAAATTAAAATTGAACATGCGTGATTAACCTTTCTAAATAGGAGAGGAGGAAAGGGAAGAGGAGGAAAAAAAAAACAAAATAAAAAAACTTCAGCGAGTTTTCCGTATAAGGAGCATGCGCATTCATTCGTTATAGGTAGATTGAAAGTGAGCATGCGCATAATGAGAGGGTTGGTCTGAAGTTTGAACCAAGCTGCAACTGCGGGTCGGAGAGCTGTCAGTGAGTGTGGGACTAATGGGGAGCCGATAGGACAGAAAGGCTAAGAGAGAGTCTTGGCTTTGTTATTTGCTAATTCAGTGGCTTTGGGAAGTTTCACAACCCTTCGGTAACTCAATTTCCTTATCGGTAAAATGAGAATAGTATTACCTACAATGCAGGCTTAGACGTTAAGTTGAAAGTCTGGTTCGCTGGCTTCTGCTCATTTCCAGGGCTACATAGACTTGATGTGAAGCATTTAACAAAAGTACTCTCTTTTAAGCCGGCATGGTGGCCCACGCCTATAATCCCTGCTCTCAGGAGGTCCGAGGTAGAAGAACCACATGTTTGAAGCCGGCTCAGACGAATTAGCCAGACTCGGCCAGATTGGGCTACGTAGGGAGACCCGTCTCAAAACAAAGAGCCCTCTTTTGTTGTATAAAAACAATAAAGATTTATTTTAATACTTATCTGGCCTTTCTCTAAACTCCGACTTTGTTTTTCTTTCTGAGATAGGGTCTTATTATGTAGCCTGGGCTGTCCTGGAATTTACTATGTAGACCTTGCTGGCCTTGAACTCATGGATATCTGCCTGCCTGTGCTTCCCGAAAGTGCTGGGATAAAAGGCATGCGACACTTTGCCCCGGCTCCAACTTTGTTTTAATACTGAAACTAAGCAAAAAACATTCCTTATTGATCTTAATTGTATTTACCAGGCCAGAAGCTGCTTAGTGGAAAAAGAATAAGTCATTTTCTTGAAAGACAGAAAATTAATGTTAGATGAATGTTTTGTTAATAAGCTAACTTCTGGTGTCCATGTGATGTGAAGTGAATACAAAGAATTCCTTCAACCAGCTGGATGGTGATGACTCACGCCTTTAGTCCCAGCACTCAGGAGGCAGAGGCAGGAGGAACTCTGTGAGTTTGAGGCCAGCCTGGTCTACATAGTGAGTTCCAGGACAGAACAGTGAGTCTCAATAAATAAATAAAGAAGAAGACAAAATTCACAGTAATATAAGTGGTTGTGGCACAGACACTGAAATGTGACTCTTTCTTGAGATGGTCACTCCCCACACTGGGGACGCAATATCCTTTCCTTCAGTGCCTCTCTGTCCATCAACACCCTGCTTAAATCCACTAAAATCCCTTCTTAAAACCTCAGCGCTGCTTGCTGTAGCTGGTCCTGAACTGCTCTTCGACAGCAAAGTCAAGAATCATAGATTGCCAAGCATGGTGCTGCAGACCCTTAATCCCAGCACTCCAGAGACAGAAACAAACTGATTTCTGTGAGTTCAAAACCAGGCCAGCACACTCGCACACACAACAGTCTCAAGCTGGCCTGGATTCACAGAGCTCCACATGCCTTTGCCTCCTTAGTGTTAGAATTAAAGATATATGCCTCCATGCCCAGACAAAAAGTTAATTTTTATTAGTGTACATAGATATTTTTAAGGGCTTTTGTTTTGTTTTTTGAGACATGGTTTCTCTGTGTAGTCCTGGTTGTCCTGGAACTCCCTCTGAAGACCAGGCTGGCCTCGAACTCAGAGATTCACCTACTTCTGTCTCTCAAGTGCTGGAATTAAAGACAACTTGACTTATGTATTTATTGTGTACAGGGTTCTGCCTACATGTATGGCTTCAGGCCAGAAGGGGGCAACAGACCTCATTATAGATATGAGCCACCATGTGGTTGCTGGGAATTGAACTCAAGATCTCTGAAAGAGCAGCCAGTGCTCTTAACCTCTGAGCCATCTCTCCAGCCCCATGTACAAATACCTTTAATTTTCTAAAAAAATTATTATTTTTTTGTTGTATGTATATACCTGCATATCTGTATGTGCAATGCCTGGGAAGGCCAACAGAAGGCATTGGATCCCCTGGAACCGGGATTACTGGCAGCAGTGTAGGTGCTGAGACCCAACCTTGGGCTTCTGAAAGAAGAGCAAGTGCTTTAACCATTGAGCCATCTCTCCAGCCCCTTCCGTCTATATAATGAACACATGGCTTATTGTTTGCTCTTGTTCGTAATGTGGTTTCTCATGTCTGTGTCTTTTTTTTTTTTATAGGTTATCCATTCCCTTGTGTTTTAGACTAGGCCTAGCTTGTGGCTTGGCATGTCAATAGTAACAGTGCAGCTTGGGCAGTGCGGCAACCAGATTGGCTTTGAAGTGTTTGATGCTTTATTTAGAGACTCACACTGTTCCCAGGGACTCTGCTCTAAGAGAGAAAATGAGGCATATCAAGCATCTTGCAAAGAAAGGTTTTTCAGAGAAGAAGAAAGTGGAGGTAGGTGTGGTCAACAACCCTCTCCTTACTTGCATGTGAGCGTCTTCAAAGTATCTAAGCCCATCCCTTCCATCTCACTAGGGAGGGTCTTTGCTCTGCTTTCCCCACCCCATGCTGGGGTTTGAACCTAAGACCTCAGCAGGCTATGCAAGTAGTCTACCTCCAACCCATGAATTAAAACAAAACCATAAAGAACTGAATCTCGGGCTGGCAATAGGGTTCAGGGACTTAGAAGTTTATGCTCTGTGGTACTGACATAAAATGTATGATTTGTTTTCCTTTTCCCTACTCAAGTTCCAGTTGCCCGGGCTGTTCTTGTTGACATGGAACCTAAAGTTATCAATCAAACACTATCAAAAGCTGGCCAGTCTGGCCGATGGAAATATGGTCAGCATGCATGCTTTTGTCAGAGACAAGGGTCTGGGAACAACTGGGCATATGGGTAAGAACAACCCCTCGTGATTTTCAGTAAATTTAAAGCTATACAGTTAAGTACTCATACCGTTATAGTTGTATAGTTGACACAACAAGTTCAAAATTTTGAAAGTGTTGTATTAAAATTTAGAATTTGGGGTCTGGTGTGGTGAATTCAGGCCAGCCTGGTCTACATAGTGAGTTCCAGACTGTCTTACTCAGTGTTTTGTTTCTACCAAGAGGCACCCTGAACAAAGTAACTCTTTTTTTGTTTTGTTTTGTTTTTTGTTTTTGTTTTTTTTTCGAGGCAAGGTTTCTCTGTATTGCTTTGGAGGTTGTCCTGGAACTAGCTCTTGTAGACCAGGCTGATCTCGAACTCACAGAGATCCACCTGCCTCTGCCTCCTGGAGTGCTGGGATTAAAGGCGTGTGCCACCACTGCCAGGCCAAAGTAACTCTTACAAAGAAAGCATTTAGTTGGGCTTGCTTACAGTTTCAGAGGTTTAGTTCACTATCATCATGGCAGGGAGCATCAGCGCATGCAGGCAGATAGGGTGTTGAAGAAGTAGCTGAGAGTTCTACATCTGAATCCACAGGTAGCAGGAAGATAGAGACAGAGGGCCTTGCTTGGGCTTTTGAAATCCCAAAGCCCACCTAAGGATACTCTTCCTCCAACAATGCCACACTTATTCCAACAAGGCCACTCCTCCTAACCCTTCTCAAACAGTGCTGCTTCCTGATGACCAATCATTTAAATCTATGAGCCATTGGAGGCTATTCTCATTCAATCCACCACACAGTCAGAGCTACCTAGTCAAATCTTGCCTCAAAGAAAACTAAAATAAAATTAAGAATTTGGGCCAGGGAGATGGCTCAGGGTAGAGCCTTACCTGATGAACTCAGGTCAATTCCCAGAACCTACATAGTGTAAGGAGACCTGACTCCCATTGTCCACACATGTGCCATGGCATGTACAAGCCCTCCCATAAATATGGAATACAAAATTACAGTTTAGAATGTGTCAGGTCTGGTGATGCAAGCCTATAACCCCAACTACTCTGGAAGCCGAGGCAAGAGGATCTCAAGTTCAGTGTCTGCCTGACCTATAATAGAGTAAATTCAGGGTCAGCCTGGGCAATTTAGCAAACCCCTATCTCAAAATTACAAGTATATGAACAAAGGAACCAAGCATATAGCTCCTCAGTGGAGCCCTTGCCCAGTGTTGTTGAGGCACTGGGATCAACTTCCATTACCACCAGTAAATAAATATTCAGAATTTGCTCTCATTCCAAAGCCTCTCATTCTCCTTGTGCCTGTGCTCAGGTAAAGGTCATTGGTGCAACTAAGCTCTCCAGCATCCAGGTCTCCTTCCTCTCCATTATCCCACTGCACACTGCGAGTCAGTCCAGTAACCTAACCTCACAAGCATCCAGCTCCAAGGGCTGCTGTTACAAGGCAGTAGTTCCCAAATTTTGCTGTGCTGTAGAATTTCCAGAGGGCCAGTTCATCCCAGCCCTTGGGAGGCCGAAGCAGTTCCTGGGCTGCTCTTACAAAATATATGAGGCCAGAGAGATGACTCAGTGGGGAAAGGCAATTGCTGCCAAGTCTGAGGACCTGAGTTCAGTCATGGTAGAAGGACAGAAAGATTCCATAGAGTTGTCTTCTGCCTTCCACACATGCAGCATTCTCTCTCTCTCTCTCTCTCTCTCTCTCTCTCTCTCTCTCTCTCTCTCTCTCTCTCTCTCTCTCTCTCACACACACACACACACACACCGCATACAAATACAAATGATGGTAGTATTAACAACAAGTAAAATAATTGCATTTTTCTCATGTAAAAAAAGAACCTTTTTAGTGGGGTAGTGGTGCGCACCTTTAATTGTAGCACTTGGGAGGCAGAGGTAGATGGATCTCTGTATTTTCAAGGCCAGTCTAGTCTACAGAGTGAGTTTCAGGACAATCAGGGCTTCTATACAGAGAAACCCTTGAGAAACACTATTTACCTGTTAAATATATTTAACTGTCTCTATCAAATGTTGTCAGTCAGGGCATCTGTACTTACATGAGAGCCACTCCCATAGCTTTGAAAAGACCGCTGTCTCCTAAATGTCCTTCCCCTTTGTACGACATCCCTCTGGTTAAACTGACAGGTGCCATGTTTGTTTCTTCTGTCATGGCATAGTTACTCTGTACATGGACCGAAGCATGAAGAATCTATAATGAACTTAATCCAAAAGGAGGTGGAAAAATGTGACTCTTTGAGTGGATTTTTCATCATAATGAGTATGGCTGGAGGAACAGGATCCGGGCTGGGAGCCTTCATTACACAGAAGTTACAAGATCAGTACTCCAGTTCATTGAAAATGAATCAGATTATATGGCCTTACGGAACTGGTGAGGTATGAACATGTTAATTTAAAGTTTTGTATTTATTTTATGAGTGTTTTGCTTGTTTGTATATATGTACACATATGCATGCCTAGTTTTCAATGAGGCTGGAAGAGGGCATGAGATTTCTGGTACTGAAGTCATGATGTAGGTGCTGGGAACCAAACCCAGGTCTTTGGAAGATCAGCTAGTGCTCTTAACCACTGAGTCATCTTACCAGCCCCTAATCAAAAGTTTTATGTTGTATATTCTTTGGTTTTGTTTTAAAATAAATTTAGGCACAAGTAAGAGTCTGGTATGGCCATTTCTCTTTGGTAAATTCTCAATAGTAGAATCATTAGATTGTAGTATGTTTTCTTTCTTGCTTAAATTTATTTTTATTTTATGTATATGAGTGTTTGCCCGAATGTGTGTCTATGCACCATGTGGTGTCAGATGCCCTGGGACTGAGTTAGGCAGCCGAGAGCTGCCATGTACATGCTGGGAATCAAGTCTTGGTCCTCTGGAGGAGAATCCAGTGCTTTGACCACTGAGCCATCCCTCCAGTCCCTATGTTCTTCATTCTTAAAGTGAACATGAAAAAAAATAATGGATCTCACTTTTGGGGGGAATGTTGAGTTCAGGATTGAGTGTGATATTTATATTAATAACTCATTTAATTTTGGTTATATTTCTCCAAAATATGAAGTATTCTTTGTTTTTAAGTCTTTTGTTTCATTTTGGTCTTAGGGTTTTTTTTTGAGATAGTCTTACTATGCAGTCCAGACTGACCTCCAACTCAAGACCTAGCCACCCAATCCAGCATCTGGCATGTGCCACCATGTATAACTGAGGTGTTCTTTTTTTTCTTTTTTAAATTAAGCCAGTTATGTTGGTGCACGCCTTTAATCCCATTTCTCAGGAGGCAGAGACAGGCAGACCTCTGTGAGTTCGGCTAGTCTGGCCTACATATAAAGCTCCAGGACAGCCAGAGCTACATAATAGAGAGTCCCTGTCTCAAAGAAAAACAAAATTTCCAAAGATGATGGCCAGAGATGTACCTCAGTATATCATGGGTTTAGCTTGTTTATAGCCCTGGGTTCTGTCCCCAGTACTAAGTGCAGTAAGTTATAACAACAAGAATTTCAAAGACAACTGTATATCTCTCGGGGCCTGTTTTGGAGTTGGTCCTTCAGGTACTGCAAAGAAGGACCTTGACCTCATACTGGGGTGCCATGGTATTTTGGCTAGGCTTCAAACAATCTTAAGTTCTTTCTACTGAGAATTTTTTGTTTTCTTTGTGTGTGTGTGGTTTGTTGGTTCTTTTGTTGTTTGTTTTGTTTTTTTGAGACAGGGTTTCTCTGTGTATCTCTGGCTGTCTGGGAACTAGTTCTGTAGACCAAATTGGCCTCAAACTCACAAAGATCATCTGCCTCTACCTCTACTTCTGGAGTATTGGAAGTAAAGGCGCGTGTCACCACTGCCTGGTGAAAAGAAAGTTTTGTGCATTTCCTAATAGAAAAACCAAATGAAGGAAATGATTCGGGAAGGAAGTGTTGTAGCAATGACTTGCTGTATTTGTTTTCATTTTTGTTTTGAGACTGTGTAGCCCTGGCTGTTCTGGAACTCAGTATGTAGACCAGGCTGCTCTCAAACTCAAGAATCTATCTGCCTCTGCCTCCCAAGTGCTGGAACTGAAGGTGTGAGCCACTACTCACAGTTGGAATCTCCACTCTTCATCACTCACCCCTCCTTTCCTGTCTCTGACCCTTCTCTCTCCAGGTTATCGTGCAGAACTATAACTCCATCTTGACTCTCTCTCACTTGTACCGGTCTTCAGATGCACTCCTCATTCATGAAAATGATGCTGTCCACAAGATCTGTGCCAAACAGATGAACATCAAGCAGATCTCCTTCAGAGATTTAAATCAGGTTCTTGCCCATCAGCTGGGCAGTGTGTTCCAGCCTACATACTCTGAGGACGGCTCATTTCCCTACCGCAGGGATCCACTAGGTACTCAGCCCCTCTGTTATTTGTAGAAAAGATGTATGTGCTGAAAGACCCAAAGTTATTTTCCCTGTCTCCTCCCCTATACCTGGAGATAATGCCAAGATATACCCCAAATCTGCCTTCAGACCACCTTCATCTCTGAACTCTTACTGAAGATCTCAAGAAGTTACTCAATTTCTCAAAGGTATACAATGTATCTAGATCAGTGGTTCTAAACCTGTAGGTCAAGATACCTTTGGAGATTGAATGGCCTTTTCATAGGGGTCACCTAAGCCCGTCAGAAAACACAAATATTTACATTACCATTCATAACAGTAGCAAAAATATGGTTATAGTGTAGCAACACAAATAACTTCACAGTTGGGGGTCACTACAACATGAGGAACGGTGTCAGCATCGGGAAGGTTGAGGACCACTGAGCTAGATCCTCCCCACTGACTACACCATTTGTGGGGCCACTGTTCTCCCAGGACCTAAAACATTGCAAAGTAAATAGTGAGCACTTGATAAAATAGTCATTGGGTGGCAATGTGCGTGTTTTGTACAGGTGGGGGTAGAGGCTAAGGTATTACACACACTAAGCAAGTGGTACACCACTAAGCTACCCCTAACAGATAAAGGGTGTATAGCACTGGGGTTCACAGAGATAATGGGGTTGAGCTGGAGAGATGGCTCAGTGGTTAAGAGTACTTGTTGTTCTTGAAGAGGACCCAGATTCTGTTCCCAGCACCTCTAGTGGTTTACAACCATTTGTTACTTCAGGTCATGAAGATGTGGCTCATTCTTCTAACCCCTGTGGGCACCAGGCATGCACATAGTGCACATACGTACATGCAGGGAAAACATCTATAGAGATGATATAAAATAAGTAAATCTTAAAAAAAAAAGTTGGGAGGCAGAGGAAGGCAGATATCTGTGAGTTCAAGACCAGCGAGTGCCAGGACAGGTTCCAAAGCTACACAGAGAAACTCTGTCTCAAAAAAACAAACGAACAAACAAAGAATGGATGTGGGTTTGTAGTGTAAATTGGCATTATGTTTAAGGACTGAAAACTCAGAAGAGGGTTTGCTGCCATTGTTGACAGTGCTCTCTGAGCTGTACTATCATTTTGTTTGATAAAGCTCCCTTGCTACTTTGCAGTGATGAAGGGAGTGGGAAGGAAGAGCAGGAAGATGAGGATGAGGAGAAAGACAATTCAGAGAGACTCCAGGCTGCCGTGTGGTGTCATGTCCTATATAGGAAAAGTGGAGAGTAGGGTTGGCCCAAGATTGGGAGTTTGCCAGAAAGAGGAAGACAGAGTGTCTGGGAAGGGAGGAAGTCAGTGGATAAGGATCTCAATCAGGTCCAAGAATTGCTAGGCTGAGGTAGAGTCAGAGCTGGCAGAGAGGCCTAGTGGGGTGACTTAATAGAATACACTGCTCCCAAGTGCTGGAATTAAAGGTGTGCACAGCATGTCTGGATAGCTGTTTCTTTTTTAGCCAGAGTCTTACAATGTAAGCCCTAGGGCTGGCCTGGAACTTGTGGACAGTCCTCCTGCCCCTGCCTGCTAGTCCTCCTGCCCCTGCCCCTTAAGCCATGGGATTACAAGTGTGAGCCACCATACCCATCGTAAGTATGCTTTTTCAGCCATGCTAAAATGAAGCAAAGATCCGGGCATGATATTACATGCCTTTAATCCCAGCACTCCAGAAGCATAGGCAGATGGATCTCAGTGGGTTCAAGACCATCCTGGTCTACAAATACAGTTTCAGATCAATTAGAGCTGCACAGTGAGGCCCTGTGTCAATAATAATAATAATAAAGAAAAATGTAGTCTATATCAGACAGTGTCTGAAAATCCACCGTTTTATTATTTAAGCAATTCTGGAGATAGAGAAAACATATTTGACTCAGAACATCATGTGATTGTGGATGAAGTAAATTTAGTTCACATTTCATTTTATTTTTTCCCTTACAGGAGACTTAATGGAGCATTTAGTCCCTCACCCTGAATTTAAAATGCTGGGTGTCCGTAATATCCCACAGATGTCTGAGAACTCTTTGGCATACAGCACATTCACCTGGGCTGGCCTCCTCAAGCATTTGAGACAGATGCTTATTTCCGGTGCAAAAATGGAAGAAGGTAATGGGATATTTTAAAAATAGACAACCCACATACTGGGAAGGCGTCTGTCCGGGAGCCCTGACTATAAACTGGCTCAGGCTGGTTGAAATAAAGGCCCCTTCTTCTAGCCAAGGAACCTCCTTCAGAAACTTGCTGGGACATCACAGAGGGCTTCTTGATGGCTTTACAGTTTCATTTCAAAAGGATATTTATGACAAGTGTTATGTTATTTCAGACCTTTATTTTATTTTAATCAAAGTAATATATGAAAGTAGCTTTAAAAATGAAATAGTTAGGGGCTGGGGCTATAGCTCAGTTGAAAGAGTGCTTGCCTAACATTAAGACCCCATGTTCAGTCCTCAGCCCCACAGAAATCAGGAAGATCAGGGAGTCAAGGACCAACTCAGCTCCATAGCAAGTTTCAGGTTAGCCTAGATTAAATCAGACCCTGTCTCAAAAGAAAAGAATCATGTTCCAGTGAGATAGCTCTGTGGGTAAAGATACTTGCGTCCAAGATGATAACCTGAATTTAATCCCTGGAACCCACATGGTGGAAGGAAAGAACCAAGTCCTACAAGTTATCTTCTGCCCTCCACACATGCACTATGGCACATATGAGCACATGCCTACATGCATGAACATGCACACAAGCAAGTGAATGAATTAATTAAAATGTTTTTAAAAATTAAGTAATAGTCAGGTAGTGGTAGTTCACACCTTTAATCCCAGTGCTCGGTATGAAGAAGCAGGTGGTTCTCTTGTGAGTTCAAGGCCATCCTAGTGTACAGAGTGAGTTCCAGGACAACTGGTGCTACACAGAGAAACCTTGTCTTGAGAAGAAACAAACAAACAAAGAAATCAAGTAATCAAGTAATTAAAATTCACTTAAGGACTGGGGTATAGCTCAGTGGTAGTGCACACAATTTTTACAATTTAGTTGTTTTGTCTGCATGTATATCTGTGTACCACACACATACTTGGTACCTGTAGAGGCCAGAAGAGGGCCTTAGGTTCCCGGGTACTAGAGTTACAGAGAGTTGTGGGCCACCATATGGATGCAGGGAATAGAACCTGGGTCCTCTGGAAGAGCAGTCACTAAGTGACTCCAGCCTCCACGCAGACTTTTTGCATGTGAGAGGTCCCGTATTTGCTCCTGGTGTTGCCCTGTAGGCACACTGTGTGTCAGCAGTGCAGTGAAGCACTGTCTGTAAGGAGACCACAGCAGTGCCTGCCCCCCCCCAGATAAAACTACTTTCAATGCTTTCAGTCGCTTCTTCTGAAATTTATGTCCCTATTTCTAAATATTTGACCCTGATTTAATTTTATTTCCAGCTTTAGCGATTGCCTTTTCCCTTCCTCTTTCCCTCACTTTTTAAAAGTTTTAATTTGGTTTAGTTTGTTTTTAATTTACCCCGAGGTCTTCACTTTTTTGTTTGTTTTTTGAGTCACGGTTTCTCTGTGTAGCCCTGGCTGTCCTAGAACTAGCTCTTGTAGACCAGGCTGGCCTTGAGTTGACAGAGATCCGAGTGCCTCTGTCTCCCCAGTACTGAGATTAAAAGCATGGGGCCACCACCCGGCTCATCTTCACTTTGTCTAGTCCTGCTATTAAGAAGTCTTATTTAGCTGGGCGTTGGTGGCACATGCCTTTAGTCCCAGTAATCAGGAGGCAGATGCAGGCAGACATCTGTGAGTTCGAAGCCAGCCTGGTCTACAGAGCGAGCTCTAGGACAGGCTCCAAAACAATACAGAGAAAGCCTGTCTCGAAAAACAGAGAGAGAGAGAGAGAGAGAGAGAGACAGAGAGACAGAGAGACAGAGACAGAGACAGAGAGACCTTTAAAAGGGCTTGGCAGATCTAAAAACAAAACAAGCAAAACCAGACTGGCTTTATTCTCAGTGGTTAAAGTACTTGCTATACAGGTCATGAGATATAGAGTTTAGATCCTGGAGTCCATGTAATGATCTGGCCCTCCTATTCATGCTGGGGAACAGGCTGGGAGTGATGGAGGAGGACACCAGATGCTGCGTCTCTGGCCTTCCCTCAAATGTGCACCTGCGCATACACTGACACACACTACATATACATACATCACAGTAAAAACTTCCCCGCCCTTGTAGTATGTCCGCACTGTTGATAATTGCCTCACAAAAGGAGCACAGAGGAGTCTCAAGGCTTCCGGGTGGCCGAGGACAGCATCAAGGCTCAGGCTGTCGGTTGGTGGTGGAGCACTTACGAAGCAGGCACAAGGCCTTGGGTTCAAATCGCTGTCCAGGCACCAGTCTTGTCATAGTTGGGAATAGGTAGACTTCCCATTCAGTTTCCTATAAGATTCTCTTCGTCACTGAAGCTGGCCTCAGTGGTTTAGCTTTTCCAGAGCAGACACTCCCCACTCCCCATTCCCTCTGCTGTTAGAAATGTCTGTCTTGTTCCCAGGACTTCCACAACAGGAGAGCAAAGTTTCAATTGTCCTGGTTACACTGATGCTATCTTCACATCCTTTGTTATCTTAATGGGAGTGGGAGAGAGGCAGTACACCAGTGTATGTGTGGTCCTTTGTGTTTAACTAGAAATCACTGGATGCTATTTAGTAGCAAGTATTATATAAAAATGTAAGATAGGCCGGGTGTTGGTGGCGCACGCCTTTAATCCCAGCACTTGGGAGGCAGAGGCAGGTGGATCTCTGTGAGTTCGAGGCCAGCCTGGTCTACAAGAGCTAGTTCCAGGACAGCCTCCAAAGCCACAGAGAAACCCTGTCTCGAAAAACCAAAAAAATAAAAAATAAAAAATAAAAATGTAAGATAACAGGTAGACCCCCTCCCCCTCCCCCCCTGTTTTTTGGCTTGTTCTAACAATACTTGCGAATACCTCATGAAGCACAATGTTCTTCAAGGGAGGATGAGGCATCCTGCACCAAGCTCTCTCAGGTCAATGGTGTGCAGTTTGCTTAGTCATTTTCCCAAATGGAACCGTAGGGTGTTTATGTTTGCTCTGTTGTTGTTGTTGTTGTTGTTTTGTTTTTGCAGTTTGTTATAGCGTTTAAGCATACAAAAATTTGGGGGGGGGAAACTGGAGAGAAGGCCCAGCAGTTGAGAGCACTGACTGCTCTTCCAGAGGACCTGGGTTCAATTCTCAACACCCACATGGCAGTTCACAACTTTCTGTAACTCCAATATCTTACACCCTCTCATAGACATACATGCAGGCAAAAAATCCAAAGTACATAGAATAAATATACATAAAATAATTTATATCAAGTAAGAATAAATTATTTTTTTAATTTTTGTAATTTAGAATATACATGTACTAGGCTAGTGTACTACCATTGACTACATAGCCAGTCCTGAATGTTTTCAGTTTTTGAATATACGGCTAAGGATTTGGGTAAACATATTTATGGCACAAACCAAGGTGAAGGATCTAGTTACATAACTGTTCATGCTATCAGATAGATCTGTATAAAGATTGTCACCATCACTATCCATCTCCACATGTCCCAGCAACAGAGGGATGAGAGACTGGAGCAAGTGAGTAAAACTGCCGGATGTGCTAGCGCACGCCTTTACTCCCAGCACTAGGGAGGCAGGGACAGGCAGATCTCTGTGAGTTCGAGGCCGGCCTGATCTATATAACAAGTTCTAGGATAGCCATAGCTGCTTAATAGGTAGACCCTGGGGAGAAAGTGGGGAGGGGGCAGAGACACAGAAGAGTGACACGGATGGAGACAGAGTGAGATTACAGTGTTATTGTCACTAAGCTTCAAAGCTGAACATGATTGTGCATGCTTGTAATCCAGCATGAGGCAGGAGGATTGTGAATTCAAGGCTACCCTAGGGCTACAGAGTAGTAAGACGCCATCAAAAAAGAGTGGACTTGGTGGCTAATACCTGTAACCCCCACAACCTTGGCACTTCAGAGACCAAAGCATAAGTTCCAGACCCGTCTGGTCTACATTGTGAGTTCTAGGTTACAGAGTGTGAACCTGCCTCAAAAACAAGCAACCAAACATATACCTCAATGTGGGGTGGGTTATCCAAGGACCTAGAACTCCCGATTGCTGATTCTCCTGCATCACCTCCCAAGGGCTGGGGTTTTAGGCACGTGCTACCACACTCATCGTAAACACGTTTTCTCACGTTACTCAAAGCCGCTCATAGACTCTCTAGCTTTTCTTGTGTGCTAGGTATCAACTGGCAGGTGCGGCCTCCTCTCTCAGGCCTTCCACCTCTTGGCAAGATGTCTGTCCACAAGGATCTTCATTTGAACACTTCTGTCGCTAACTTGGTCATTCTCCGTGGGAAAGACGTGCAGAGTGCAGATGTGGGTAAGCATAAACGAAGGTAAAAATTGAGGAGTATGCTTTGGAACACGTTGGTGTTTTAAAAACAACTTCTGGGATGGTGCAGTGGAGAGAGGCACTTACCTCATAAGTCAGACAAACCTGAATTTGACACCTGGAACCCATGTAAAGGTGGATAAGGGAACCGACCCCACAGAGATATCCTCCAACCTCCATACTAACTAGATACAAATTGCATAAATTTTAGCTAGGCATTTAATCACCTTTTTATTTTCATTTAATTTGGGTGTTCGAGACAGGGTTTCTCTGTGTAGTTTTGAAGCCTGTCTTGGAACTCATTCTGTAGACCAGGCTGGCCTTGAACTTACAGAGATCCACCTGCCTCTGCCTCCCTTGAGTACTGGAATTAAAGGCATGAGCCACTGCTGTTGCCTCTGCCACCACCACCAGTACCTTAATCATCTTTAATCTCGGGGGGGGGCACGGGAGGAAGGGAGGGAAAGGGAGAGGAACCTGGAACTGACTTGTGATGCAACCTTGTTTCTTATCTAAATTTAAACTGAAAAATAAATTAAAAAAAAGAATAAAAAAATCATCTTTAATCTCAGTTTAGGAGAGAGAAGCAGGCAGATCTCTGTGAGTCTGAGGGCAGCCTGGTCTACAGAGTGAGTTCCAGGCTAGCCAGTGCTATATAATGAGATCCTGTTTCAAAAAACAAACAAAACAACCTAATTTAGCAGTTGGAATATATAACCCAATGAGCCATCTTTCCAGCCAAGCCAGTATTCTTAACTTCAATAGAAGTGGAGAGAGAGAGAGAGAGAGAGAGAGAGAGAGAGAGAGAGAGAGAGAGAGATTGTGTGGTGTAGGTTAATTTCTTTTTTTTTTTTTTCGAGACAGGGTTTCTCTGTGTAGCCCCTGGATGTCCTGGAACTCACTCTGTAGATCAGGCTGGTGTTGAGCTCACAGAGATCCACCTACCTCTGCTTCCTGCGTGCTGGGATTAAAAGTGTTTCTTTCCTGTAGTCCTAAACTTGCTATGTAGCTGTAGCTGGCTTTGAACTCCTGATCTTCCTACCTCCACATTCCAAGTGCTAAGATTATGTGTGCCAGTTAACCCCAGGGTCTACACTGCCCAGTAATGGGATCACACCCACCACACCCAACTTCTTTGACTTGGTCTCTGGGATGGAACTCAGATACTCATGCAGACTGAGTCATATCTTCTCACCTTAGGAAGAGAAGTTTAGTGTGTGTGTGTGTGTGTGTGTGTGTGTGTGTGTGTGTGTGTGTGCTGAGGTGCACATATCCAGAATGTGTGTGGAGGTGATAGACAATTTGTTGGTTCTCTGTCCACCCCATGGGTCTCTGCCTGTCTCGTCCTCTCCTCCTGAGGACCTCATTCTACGAATCCCTGTACTTAAGATCTATATAAACCATTGTTCAATAAAGCCCGCTCTGCTTCCTGCTGGCTCATTCTAAAATTCTTTTACCCTACAGAACCAAGGATCCACTTTACCTAGGAGTCTCCTCACACTGAGCCCATGACAAGTCCAAGGCCATGGAGTTAAGACATGCTTTTTTTTTTTTAAGATTTATTTATTATCTATACAGTATACTGCCTGCATGTGTCCCTGCAGGCCAGAAGAGGGCACCAGATCTCATTATGGATGGTTATGAGCCATCATGTGGTTGCTGGGAATTGAACTCAGAACCTCTGGAAGAGCAGCCAGTGCTCTTAACTTCTGAGCCATCTCTCCAGCCCAAAGACGTGCTTTTACTGTACACAGCGTTTACAGTCTGGCTTGTGAGATTCCCAGATTGCAGGTTCTCATCTGAGAAACACACCTAAGGACAGCCAAGGGCACTTAGGCCTCAAGCATGCTTCATTGCTAGTTTAACATTCATATTTGAGATAGCTCTTTGCAGGCAATCTTCATAGCAAACTTTGTAAATTGTACTATGATTATTTATTTTTTATATGTGTATGTTTTTGCTTGCATGTATTTCTATATGTCACATGCATGGCGCCCAAAGATGCCAGAAGAGGGTGTCAGAGTCCCTGGGACTGCCAGTTGTGAATGCCTTTGTGGGCGCTGGGTCCTCTGAAAGAGCAGCCAGTGCTCTCAACTTCTTAAGCACTGGGCCATCCTTCCAGCCCAGAGACTTGAATTGGAGTCTAGAGTGAGGACTCCTTGCCTTCTTCTCTCCCCTTAATTTTCCCTGTCTTTGTATCCTTCCTTCAGAATTAATAGCTGGTTTTTTTTTTACATTTGTGTGTATGTTTGTGTACATGTGTGCTTGACATAACATGCATGCATATGCCACAGCGCACAAGTGGAGATCAGAGGACAACTTGCAGGAGTGTCAGTTCTCTCCTTCCACCATGTGGGTCCCAGGAATTGAACTGAGGTCATCAGGCTTGGCAGCAAGCACTTTTACTCCCTGAGCCATCCTGTCGACCCTCCTTACAACATCCTCACGTGTGTAGAGGGGACTTTGCTCATGTGTATGGTGTTTCTAATTCTAGAGGGGTTTAAAGACCCAGCTCTCTACACTTCCTGGTTGGAGCCTGTTCATGCTTTTAGCATGTGGAAAACCCAACGAGCCTTTGACAAGTATGAGAAGTCTGCAGCGCTGGTCAGCAATAGTCAGCTCTTAGTAAAGCCGCTTGACATGATCGTGGGCAAGGCATGGAATATGTTTGCTTCCAAGTAAGTAAAAGAGAGGTCTCCAGACTTGCACACCTCAGTCAGACAATGCCAAGGTAAGGCATGAGGTGTGCTGTGGAGCAGGCTTGACTACCACCATGTAGCTGTGAGGCCGTGGGCATATAACTTAAAGGCTACCCCTCATCTGGGCAGCAGGGATCCAATGAGGTAATCATGCAAAACACCACCTAGTACACCACTTGGCTAGCAAAGTGCTCAGTAATTGTTCTGTGCTATTAGTTTTATTTTATGTGCATGGGTATTTTGCCTATGTATATGCCTGTGTACCACAGGCATGCCTAGAGCTCTGGGAGGCCAGAAGAAGGTGTTGGACCACCTGGGACTGGAGTTACAGATGGTTGTGAGTGTGAAGGCACTGGGAATAGAACTTGGGTCTCCTAGAAGAACACCCAGTTCTCTTAACCACTAAGCTATCTCTCCATCTCGGCTCCTATATACTGTTATTATGTAGGACTTGTTTACCAAATGAATAATTTCTAGGCAAGATTCAAAGTTTCATAATAAGATAGTTTTTTAAAAAAAGATCCCTAAGATCCCTGGGACTAGAGATGTTGCTTGGGAGAAGAGCACTTGCCCAGAATGTGTGAGGGCCTGTGTTCTGTCCCTAGCACTGGTAAGAGACCAGAAAAAGTCCTGGGAAGTAGAAGAGACTCTGGTCTTCCTCAGTAATAGCAATGTATTTGAGGGAAGCCTTAGCGGCTTTTTGGCCTCTTCCCACAGACAGAATACAGTTCTTCAGATGACTGAACAGGATTAGGATTCCCCAGGCCTACTCACCCCGCCCAGGCTGGTCCACAGTCTGCCTCCTCCTCATCTGGATCCCAAGTCCTTTTTTGGTCCAAGTTCTCTTACTGTTGCTATGACATCAGTTTATTTCGTGTCTGTACTCTGTTCTTCTGGGAGCTAGGTTTCTCCTGACCCGCAATATTTGGGTGGGAAGGGTCTGAGAAAACCACCAAGGCAGAACCCTAGATTAATTTCTAATGTCAAAACTTAAGTGAATCTTCTGGGCTCCTCCTGTGGTGGCAGTCACCTCCTGTAGTGTACTGAGCCCATTTGCCAGGACTGCAGAGTTAGACATGCGTCTTCCCCTGCACCCTCTTGCACAGTGAAGGACGAGGGAGTGTGGCGATAGGCTGGAAGTTTGCTAAGGTTATTTGCTGATGCTGAGTCAACAAGTGACCCACGCATAAGTAAGGTCCCCAAGAGGTTCTGTGAGCTTTGAATGCTCACAAGCCAGGAAAGGTCTATTTATTGTTTAAGCTTCTCCTTTGCCTGGATTTGATTTGACTGTTTCTGCTTTTTGCCAGAGCCTACATTCATCAGTACACAAGATTTGGAATGGAGGAAGAAGACTTTTTGGACAGTTTTACATTGTTAGAACAAGTCGTTGCCAGTTACGGTAGCCTCGGACCCTAAACTAAGAGGAAAAACACCACACAGGACTTTCAGACTAAAATATTTTCAAAATTGAGCCATGCACAGTGGAAGACACTTGTGATCCCAGCACCCTGAAAGTAGAAGCAGGAGAATCAGGAGGTCATCCTTGGCTACATCAAGAGTTCTGGGCCAAGCCGGGCGTTGGTGGCGCACGCCTTTAATCCCAGCACTCGGGAGGCAGAGGCAGGCGGATCTCTGTGAGTTCGAGGCCAGCCTGGTCTACAAAGTGAGTTCCAGGACAGCCTCCAAAAGCTACAGAGAAACCCTGTCTCAAAAAAACCAAAAAAAAAAAAAAAAAGAGTTCTGGGCCAACCTGGGCAACATGAGACCCTGTCTCAGAACAGATAAACAAATACAAATTCTTGCTCTAAAGTTCAGTCTGTTAAAGTAATAAAGTAGAATGCTGAATTTGGTAAACTGTTGCTGAGTCTCTTTTCCTGTTGCCAAAAGAAAACTACTTTTCCACTAATTCATGTCTTTCAAGTATATTAAATATGACAATATTTACAAATGTATGATTTGGGGAATTGTTTAAGTTATTTTTCCTAATTTTCTCTTTTCAGGATAGATTATTTCAACAAGTAATTTTTTTTTGTTTTTCCAGACAGGATTTCTCTGTGGCTTTGGAGGCTGTCCTGGAACTAGCTCTTGTAGACCAGGCTGGTCTCAAACTCACAGAGATCCTCCTGCCTCTGCCTCCCAAGTGCTGGGATTAAAGATGTGAGCCACTGCTACCCGGCTCTCAACAAATAATTTATAGTGATGATTGTGTTGACTTCAGTTTGGAGTGTAGTAGCTGTAGTAGAGTAACCATTTGGTCTTATTGAAGCCAACACAAAACTTGCTGTGTTTTCTTCAGTGATAAATAAAATACATAATCGGAAAAAAATAGAATGCTAATTCCAGTTTGTGTACTCTATCCACAGACATGAAGAAAACACTTCAGGTGGAGTGTATTGTATTTTCAGGGAAAACATGTTGTGGAATATTACTTTAACTATGTAAAGGTATTACATTTGTTTATGCTGCATTTGTTTAATTATGTAAAGATGTGTTGCTGTTTTACCTTGCCTGCCTAAAGAGCCTGATTAGGTCTAATAAAAAATGTTGTCCATGCCACATGATGGCGCATGCCTTTAATCCCAACACTGAAGAGGCAGAGGCAGGTGGATCTCTGTGCGTTCGAGACCAGCCTGGTCTACAAGAGCTAATTTCAGGACAGACTCCAAAGCCACAGAGAAACCCTGTCTCAAAAAACAAAACAAAACAAAAAAGTTGTCCAGTCAACAGGTAGGCAAAGAGAATAAGTAAGAGGAAGAACCTAGAAAAAAGAAGAGAGAGAGGAGAGGATGAGGGAGATGGCCCCTGGGACCAGTCATCCAGGCAGCTGCCAGCCAGTCCAATAGGGAGAAAACAGAAAAGTAAGACATACAGAATGAAAGAAAGGTAAAAAGTCCTGAGATAAACATAGATGAAAAGAAGTTTAAGTTATAAGAGCTAGTGGGACAAGCGTAAGGTAAGGCTGAGCATTCGTAACCAATAATAAGTCTCTGTGTCATGATTCGGGAGCTGGCTGGTGGCCCAAAAGAAAGACTGCTACAGACATGTATTTGATAATTCATTTTTAAGGGGGAAAAACCCATGTTTCTATAGAGAACATCATTTCAGTAGGACAGGATCTCGTACTGTTGGGCTCAAGAGAACTTTCTGCTTCAGCCTCCAGAGGAAGCTGTGTGCACCTTGGAGTTTACTTTAAAAGAACTCCACAAACACTCGACAGTCACATAACTGTAAGAATCTAAGGGAAGTGTCTGCCATGGTAGCACACACCTTTAATCCCAGCACTCAGGAGGCAGAGGCAGGGGAATCTTTATGAGTACGAGGCCAGTCTGGTCTACAGAGCGAGTTCCAATGCAGCTAGGACTATCACACAGAGAAACCCTGTCTCAAGCAAAACAAAACAAAAATAAAAATCCAAGGGAAGAAAATGTTTTGTGTGTGTGTATTCATGTGTGCATATGGCTGTGCACATGGATGAAGGCACCCATGGAGGCCAGAAGGAGACGTTATATCCTGTGGAGCTGGAGATATAGCTATTAGTTCTGGAACTGAACCCATGTTTTCTGCAAATGCAGTAACTAGCACTCTTGACCCACCAGCCGTCTCTCCAGCCCCAGCATGGGTTTTGTTTGTTTGTCTGTTTGTTTTTGAGGCAGGGTCTCTGTAGCCCAGGATGGCCTGGAACTTGCTATGCTTCTCCAGCCTCAGCTTCAACTTCCCAAGTGTTAAGCATCAACCACCATGCTTAGGTCTGAGAAATACAATTCTGTGTAAATGGTTGCTTTGAACCACAAGAGGGAGATGTTGTCAAATGCTACAGTGTGATCATCGCTTCTGAATACAGTAAACTACTTTACACAGCCGTTTCAAAATTAACCTTGGGTCAAGTGCAGCTGTATGCTCTGCATTTCCAGCACTCAAACGACTGGGGAGGAGGACCTGTTCAGTCAGGAGTTCAAGATAAGCCTGGGCAAAAAAAGCTGTAGTCCCAACACTTGGGAGATGGAGGCAAGAGGCTCAGGAGTTAGCGGCAGCTTGAGCACATACCAAATTCCAGGCCAGACAGGGCTATACACACAGCAAGGCCTTGTCTCCAGACCAAAGCCAGGGCTTGGAGAGGTGAAGGCACTTCTGCCAAGCCTGACAACTGGGATCCATCCCTGGATTACATGTCAGAAGAAGAGAGCCTATGGCCAGGATGTGCATGCACCCACACATATTCAATATTTATTCTGAGACAGGTGCTCACTGTGCAGCCCTGGCTGGCCTTGAACTCACAGAGATCCAACTGCTTCTGCCTCCCGAGTGTTAAGAATTAAAGACCTGGCACCATAGCTTTTTTTTTTTTTTAAATAGATACATGTGCTGATGGTCTGCTTTTCTTCAACTCTCTGGGAATGAATGAATGGGGTCAGATTGGGTTGTGGACTATAGAACATCAGAGCAGACACTGACTTTTTATTCAGTCAGTTCTGAGTCCAGAGGATCACCCTAAGTCATAAGGCCTGGTGGCAGGTACCTTTACCAGGTCAGCCATTTTTGTCAGCCCTGCAGTAAAAATATTGCTCACCCATATGTTTTGTTAATTTGAGAAAATTATCACAAAGGCAATACAGCACTAGATAAAACTAATACAGGGGGATATCAATTTCACTCTGAAGAATCACACACGCAAAACATTTGTGACTATGTTTGAAGAAAACATTGTGTTTCAATGAAATATATCACACACAGTGTAAATGGATGCAAAAAGTAGCATTGGCTATTTCTGCCCAATCTACCAGCAGTGACTTACTTTGCATGGAAAAACAACAGTTCTCAGCTTTGCTGGTTTCTTGCTTTCCTTTCCATATGGAACTAATTACCTTTTGCTGTTTTTCTTATCTACTGTTGCTATGGTGTAAAACACTGGACTGTATCTTATTTCCAAGGAATGCAGAAAGTGGTCTGCCTTGCTGCTAGAAGGAACACCCCACTGGCTGCATTTCGTTAACTCAAATATACTAGAGAAATAGTTAGACCATACTTCTCACAAGGCAGAATTCTTCAGCTTTGGACACATCCAGCGACTTCACTTCCCAGAGGAAACCAGTGTTAATGAAGGCCTGTGGTTGTATGAGCTGGGGGTAGGGGTGGGGGCTGACTCAGGGATCTTGCTGGAGGGAATGCATGAGAGAAGTCAGAAGCTGAATCACTTGATATTTGAGACAGGAATTGATGAGGGCAAAGGTATTTTATTTGAAACCCATGTAATCAAAAGCGGGCACATATTAGAAAGGAATTCTTATTTTAAAATTTATTTACTATGTACACAGTGTTCTGTCTGCATGTATCCCTGCAGGTCAGAAAAGGGCACCAGATCTCATTACAGATGGTTGTGAGTAACCATGTGGTTACTGGGAATTGAACTCAGGACCTCTGGAAGAGCAGTCAGTGCTCTTAACCTCTGAGTCACCTCTCCAGCCCCTAGAAGGGAATTCTTATAAGGACCATGTATTGAACATTTTTTTCAAGTACTCCGTTATTTGACATATGTAGATATCAAATGAAGCTTGTTTTAAACATTTACATGGAAAACTGTTTTCAAAAGAATTTGTAATGACTTTTTAAAAAAATAAAGTTAGAGTTGCAATTTTAACAAAAATTAACATTAGAGGCGAGGTGTGACGGCATCTGCTTATAGCCACTGCTGCGAGGGAGGCTGAGGCAGGAGGATCAATCGAGCCCAGGACTGAGGTCAACCCTGGCAATATGTTGAGATGCCCTGCCTCAACCAAACAGAACCAAACAAACACGATTCACGAGGAAGCTGAAGTCAAAGCTTTGGAATCTAGGGTGGCACCAGAAATGCACCAACCAGCGAGAAAAAAGGCAGGCAGGAGCTCCCGGGTGGAATGAGACAACTTCTGAAATGAAATCTTGAAGTCAGGCATGGTGGCCCATACCTGTAACCCCGAGCCTTTCAGGACGCTCAGGTTAGGAGGGCTAGCGTGGACTACACGGAAACGCTGTTAACCCCGAGTGGGAGGGGGCACCCTATGGGCAGTGGGTGTGGAGTGGGCACAGACCAGCTCCCTTTCAGGCCTTTGCACCCCTGTGTCTCCCCTCCTCAGAACCTTTTACTGTAAACTACAGAACCCATCCCTCTTTTCCCACTCCGCTTCCCTCCCGGCTCTGGACTCGCATCCGCCCCAAGCAGTGGCCGTTCCATGTAAAGTTTTCTCTTTATTGCATCACTTGGAGCCATCACTAAGAACGCCCGGCTTGCTCAGCCAATCATTCATTCATTCAGTGATGTCTTCGGTGCTCGGTAGGCATCTGAGGACGTGATATGGATGCTGGATCAGTACGGAGGGGTATGGAAGAGCTCACAATGCAGGGTTTCCTTTGCTGTATGAAGCTATGATTCTGGCTTCCTAATTATTGCTTTTGACTGTATATATTCAACTTTTTTTTTAATGGGAAAGAATGTAGTTCCAAAAGAACAGCAAATGGGGAGTGTTGGCCTGGGCTTCGAATGTTGCAATGTCTCTTCTGGCTTGGGACAACTTTGCAGCATGCATACCAGCGATTC